GAACCAATGATGGCTTAATGAGTCTCACACTATCCAGAAAATTGCAGTCCTTGAGCAGAAATATCTGAGTCTTTTGCTTGTTATTCTTTGCTCAGCTCTCTGGAAAGAATTTGACAAGTGTCCGGGTGAGACATCTAAAACAAAAATAAAAAACCACGTTACCGATCCAGGGAAGTTTTTACATCAGCATATCAAATTATATCCAAATAGCCAATATGAAAATTACTATCCAGATTTCATAGCTTAATCAAACAATAACAAGAAAAAAAAAGTTCCTTCAAACTATGATCTAGGTAAGATAACCAACAATGTTTATCTTCCCCTGAGCTATTGTGATGATTAATAAGATAATGTTCACAAAGGACTTTGAACGAGTAATGCAATGTACTTTGAAGCATTATCGTTTTGTTATTAATGAGTTTTGATTCTGACAGCTGCCAATCGCAATGCGGCCACAGTAAACCTTTGCTCATCCCCACCAAGGAGAATATGGTACAAGGGAGCCGATAGCGTATGGGGGCAGATAATACTTGCTCCAGGAGAAAAGCCAAATCCTGCGAGAGGCAGAAGCTGTAGATGAGGCAACTAGAAAACAATCAGGAGGGACAGGTGCTGTTAGGTTGGGACCACAGCTAGTACAGAAAGAAACACTCCAAATGCACATAGAAAAGATTTAAAGAGATAACCCAGAGTCGCCCACACCAACCCAAAGTTAATTGTGTGGCATTCATTTGTTTCTCATACCCTGATTCCAAATATTAAGCACCTCCAAATACCAGGCAAAGTGTTTAGTGCTGGGGATATAAAAACAAATAAAAGAACCTCTGTTTTCAAAAGGCTTACTCCTTACTTAGGGTGGAGAAGGGAAGGAGGTAGAAAAGCATATACACAAATACTTAATATTGAAGAGTTGTAGGGACTTTGAAAGAAATATGAAATGCACGTGGGGGGGCAGATAAAGAGGCAGAAGGGTTGGGCACCTGGGTGGCTCAGTTGGTTAAGCGACTGCCTTCGGCTCAGGTCATGATCCTGGAGTCCTGGGATCGAGTCCCGCATCGGGCTCCCTGCTCAGCAGGGAGTCTGCTTCTCCCTCTGACCCTCCTCCCTCTCATGCTCTCTGTCTCTCATTCTCTCTCTCTCAAATAAATAAATAAAATCTTAAAAAAAAAAAAAAAAGAGGCAGAAGGGCTCTGTTTTCAGAGAAAGGACGTCCCTGGAGAAATGAAAGAAAGAAGGATAGGGCAGGGAAAAGCATTTTTGGCAGAGGGAACATCATCAGTAACATAGACCTCCACTGAACAGCACCCCGTTAGAGATGTACCAGTGACCATGGCAGATGCAGTGACCCTGGATACCAGTAAAAGTGTAAGGGGCCCACAACGAAAGGTAAGCTTGGTCAGAAAATAAGGACCAGTTCTAGAAATTAAGATTTATCCTAAAGGCACTGAGAGCCCTTTCAAGTTTTTTTTTTAAGCATGTAAGTAACGGTCATCTTTGTGGTTTTGAAAGATATCTCTGAAATCAACATGAAATTTGGATTGGAGAGAGGTCTGGAGTGGAAGGCCTGTTAGGAATCTACCATAATTACCCTTGTGAAGGACTCCAAGGGACAGAGGAGAAGGAACAAAGGAGGAAACATCAGACTTGGATCCTGCCAAAAGTAGAGATGGAGACAGGGAAGTATCATGAAAGTCATTCCCAGGTTCATGACTTGGGTGGCAGAGTCAGTAGCCGAGAAGAAAATGGGAGAAGGGAAAAGCAAGTGGGGCAGAAAGTTTCCACTTTTCCTCTCATGTGTTCCTGATCTTGATGACTGGCCTCACCACTCATCCTGTCCCCAAGATACCTGTGCACCTCAATTACTCATATAGCAGGAAGAGAAGAAACACCAGACGTGAAATCATTCTCGCTCCTAATTCTCTCCTGGGTTTATTGCCTGCTAATGCTACCCTGGAATACGCATTCAAAGGGTTAAAGTTATTTTAGAGGCAAATTTCAAACAATGTTTCTGTCACTCCCCTTTCATATTACTTAATGGTGCCTAAATGAAAATAAAGGTTCAAATTAAGTTCAAAAAACTTAAAAGCACTTCTTAATGGTGGAAGTTTAGCACTAAGGGTTTATTTCTTGTTTCATGTGTTAAATATTAACTTGAATTTTGTAAGAATTAAAAGTTTTAACAAGAAGTATTTATACTGGCCAATTAAAAATGTGTCTACAGTAACAAATATCTCAAACATCCTTAAAATGACGACTATATTTCCATGACATAGACTTTAGGACATGAAGAAATATCCCAATAGAATTAGTGTGCCATAATTATATGGGATTTCTACTTTTAAACGAATCAAACAACCAAATTAAAAAAAAAATGTTAAACCAAAAATTATATAAGAATTTGTCATGTCACTTCCTTTTTTTTTTTTTAATGTTTTATTTATTTATTCATGAGAGTCAGAGAGAGAGAGGCAGAGGCAGAGGGAGAAGCAGGCTCCCCGCCTAGCAGGGAGCCCAATGAGGGACTCGATCCCAGGACCCCGGGATCATGACCTGAGCCGAAGGCAGACACTCAACCATCTGAGCCACCCAGGCGCCCCATGTCATGTCACTTCCATTAAAAAAAATTAACATTTGTCAGGGAGCTCAAAATGCGATTTGCTAAAATTTGATTTAGTATCCTCTAAAGTAAAAAAAGAAGATGTGAGAAAATCATAGTAAACTTAAAAACGCCAAGTTCTATTGTGTTAAAATATGATTTTGAATGTTTAGGAAAAAATTTAAAGTTGTGTAAGAAGTATGAGGCAAGTTGCAAAATACTGAGAGGTTAGCCAAGAAACTCCAAATAAAATAGAGCATGTAGCACAGATAGTCTGAATAGCCTAAACCCTCTGTAAATATTAGCTTCTCACCTGCCTCCCCCTACCCATGTAGATATGCAAATATATTTACTAGTTAGGTGAGATGGGAGAATAGCTGAAGGCCAAGCTCTGTTGCCATGGTAGCCAAGAGTCTTAGAATAAGCCCATCATGGGCAACTAGAACGGTTGAAGCTTCTCCTTCATTTTGCCTCATGTAGAGTTTTGCAATAAGAGTAAAAGGACACAAGGGTTTCAAGTCCATGAAAATAAAATGTTTTCTTCTTTTTGCAAAAAAAGATACAGAAAAACAAGCAAGAGGGAGAGAGGTACAGAAAAAACAGAGTTAAAGATAGCCTTCCTCAGATAATATTAGGAAGGGGGAAGCAATTAATGCCTTCTCTCTAATAAGCTCTGTGGTCCTAATTAAACATGCTTAACAACCAAAGCAAAAACATCGCACATTCTCTAAACAAGAACAGATTGACAAGTTTCTGTTTTAGGAAAAAATGTAAGGCAACTGAAGAATGTTTTCTATTTAGCCCAGGTAAGGAAGATGACATTAAGTTAAGAGGTCTTTGAAAATGGTATAGTGACGAAGGTGTGGATCCACACTGATGTGTCTGTCTACTGGTCTCATGAACAGTCTCGTGTTATTAGGGGTACAAAATAAAACAACTTTTTCTCCTATTCTTTTGACTGCTTTGTTCCTTTCTGAGGGCTGCTATCATATCATAAAGTACCACAAAATAGGTGACTTAAAATAACAGAAATTTGTTCTCTCACAGTTCTGGAGGACTGAAGTTCAAATTCAAGTTGTCTGCAGGGCTCTGCTGCCTCGGAGACTGGGTAGAGACCTTCCTCGCCGCTTACTAGCTTGTGATGGTGGTTGTCAAGCCTTGGCTTTCCTTTGCTTGCAGCAGAATCCCTCCAACCTCTGCCTCTGCTTCACATGGGATTCTTCCTGCATCTCCGGGTCCCATTTTTCCTCTTCATATTGAATTAAGGCCCACCTTAATTCGATATGACTTCATTTAACTTGATTATATCTGCAAAGACCTTGTTTCCAAATAAGTTCACATTCGCAGGTTCTGGGGGGTTAAGCTTTCAACAGATATTTTGGGGAGACACTATTCAACCCATACAGTTGCTGTTACTATAGTTCATCAAACCCTCCTTTCCTACTGGATAGCAGCTCCCTTAACAATATCTCAGTTTGCTTCTGTTGTTATCGCGCACTCACATTTATCAATCCCATTCCATTTAGGTTTGTAAGATCCAGTCCAGTTCATGTAGTTTTATGTCATCTAAAGCTCACTCTCCCACCCCAAGCCAGAGTCTATTCTGCAGCTTCCACAGTCTACGGGAAAAGAGCAATCTCTGCTTTCTCTCACACCCTCTCCTTTTCCCAGAACTTACCCCTCCGGTGTTGGGTTAAAATGGAAGGAGAGGAAAATGTCCACTGCCCTCTCATATGATTGCACATGTTGAGATGCGGTGGTCTCCTGGAATGACCAAGCCTAGGAATGAGCTTTAACACAGGAGCCCCACATGGGCTCAAGGTGGACATGAGGTGGCCATTCCTCTAGACAGTGATGGCCTCTTTGAAATTCAGTTACATCTTCAGGGTGACCCTCCGCTGGCAAGAAAACACATTCCTCTCCTGGCAGGTTTCCATGCTCAGTGCTGAGGTGGTCCAAAGCCAGCCTGGAGCCCCATTCTCACCCATGTTCTACAGCGTCCACCTCTGGGGCAGCAGGCAAAGGAAACATTTATTCTGCATACATCTTGGAAATAAGGAGCTTGAAGTAGATAACCTCTGTCCCCTGTGGCTGACAAAGTGAACTGTCTGCACGTCCATGAGGCCTATTCCCCACTTCTTCCATGAGAACAGAACTCCAAGTCTGTGTGACGGAGCAAAGTGACCAACTAAACACTTTTCTCCCCAGCCTCCCCAACATCTCGAAGTGGCCATTTGACACAGTTTCAGCCCACGAAAAATAAGCAGAAGTGGGAATTCTGAGATAGCTTTTGATTTCCTGGTAAAAGGAAGCACTTTGGCTGGCGCCTATCTTTCCATTTTTCTACCTCAGAAGCAGCCATTTTGTCTGAGGTACAGCCGCCATCTTGTGAGCATGAAGTGCAGGCATGGAAAGTCAGGAAGTGCCAGCCCTGATATCATCCGTCCATTGAATCGAAGCTAGCAGCAGCTTGCCTCCAGACGTCTTATCAGGTGAGAAAATTAAACCCCTATTTGTTTAACCCACCATTAGTTGGATTCTGTGTGACTGGAAGTTAAGGCATTTATGGTTTGATTCTATCATGGCTGGTTTAGTGGATGTTCTTTTCCTCGCTGGGATGGCTCTGCCAGACCAGGAAGAGCTGTAGCTGAGAACATGGGCAACAAGAAAGCAAATGATGGTCTCCCTTCTTGCAAGATGAAAAGCTGTTACATATTGTAAACCAAAAACCCTTTTGGTCTCTGAATTTAATTTTTGTATCCATACCCTCTGTCAGTCCAGCTCTCCGACCTACTTTCAATAACCTGTTACCATATTTTCTGGATGGGTTTTATGACTGTTTTGGTGGGCTGTAGCTATTTAATCATAATAATAATCCAGGTCCCCTTACATCTTTATTATAGTGCAGGGTCCTGAAGAGCACTCCCGTGGCCTGTCTGAACAGGAAATAAAATTGTAGAGACAGTATGATCACATCCATATAAAAGCTCAAATTAAATGAGTGAACAAACAAAAACCACGGAAGAAAAACTTAGCAGAATATTAAGGTTAGTTACCTTTGGACAATGGAAATTTTACTTCTTTTCTATTTTTCTTGAGCTATCTGTATTGTTCATACTTTTTCACAAATGACAAAAATAGAATAAAATAATTTTTTTTTTTAAGAGAGGGAGGGTGTGGGAGGGGCGGAGGGAGAGGGTAAGAGAGAATCCTAAGCAGGCTCCACACCCAGTGTGGAGCCCAATGTGGAGCTTGATCTCACAACCCTGAGATTACGACCTGAGCTGAAATCAAGAGTCCAACACTTAACTGACTGAGCCACCCAGACACCCCTAAAATAATCTTTTAAAGCTGAGAAAATATAATAAATAATTAAAACAGGGATTTTCCTCCCATCTCAAGTGCAAGAACGTACAAAATTTGTACACTGGTGCTACAAATCTGGAAGAGACTATTATACCATATGTTAGAAATTTCTTGCCTACAAAAATGAGGGTCCAAGTGCTTCTGTGAGAGCAGGTCACAAAAACTCCTGCAAAATTCCCTCCTCCACCCACCAAAGCTAAGTTTTTGGCAACCGCCTTAAGACAGTTAGATGTTCCATGCACCTAATTCCCAGCCACCTTAGGCCCTTCTGAAGTTACCTCTTCTTGTCTTTATTTTTTCTTGATGATACCATCTCAGAAGAAATTTTTGAAAATTCATCTTATGCAATTCATCTATTTCAAAACCTTCTGGTTTGGAAAGCAGGGACCCTGAAAGTGCTATTGCTCTCCCCTGAATTATTACCACTGTCTTCTTTTTTTTTTTAATTTAATTTAATTTATTTATTTGACAGAGAGTGAGAGAGACAGCTAGCAAGAGAAGGAACATGAGCAGGGGGAGTGGGAGAGGGAGAAGCAGGCCACTGGCAGAGCAGGGAGCCCGATGCAGGGCTCGATCCCAGGACTGCAGGATCATGACCTGAGCTGAAGGCAGATGCCTAACGGCTGAGCCACCCAGGTACCCCTTACCACTGTCTTCTAAGAGTGAAAATCCTTTGAAAAATATTTTTCAAATTTTATTTCACAAAAACTGTAGTGTTTCTATAAATATTTTAATTTCATTTTGAAATATATATTTGTGATTATGAAGAAAATTCATTCAATAGTACAAGAAAAATTTGAAGTGTAAGTCTGCCTTTCCCCTCAGATCCCCCAAGCCACCTCTGAGAACTAAATTCTATCAAGAATTCGCTGTGATGGGGCACCTGGGTGGCTCAGTCAGTTAAGTGTCTGACTTTGGCTCAAGTTCATGATCCCAGAGTCCTGGGAGAGAGTCCGGCATCGGGCTCCCTACTCAGGGCGGAGCCTGCTTCTCCGTCTGTCACTCCCCCTGCTTGTGTGCTTGCGCTCTCTCTCTCTCTGACAAATAAATAAATAAAATCTTTAAAAAAAAAATTCACTGTGACATTTTTCATACAGATGAGTGAATACAGTTATATATCTTTTTTTAATCTCTCACACAAAAAAAGATGGTTTTATACACAACTATTCTCTACCTTGTTCTGTTCATTTAATGGAATATCTTGGGACTCTTTCCGATCAATACATACAGATATATTCATTCTTTTAATCAGCTACATATTAATATAAAGCATATGCATATTGTAAATTATTTAAATAACCCCATGGTTTTGGACACTTAAAGAGTTTCTAATTCTTGTGAGTACATACAGTGCTATAATTAAAATCATTTTACATATATATTTTTATATGTATCTGGGGAAAGCCCCAACACATGTAGTCAACGGATCAAAGGATATGCATATTTAAATTTTTTTATTAAAACTGCCAAATTTATCTCCAAAAATTCTACAAGAGTATGTTCTCAAAAACAATGCATGTCAGTGCCGATTGCCCACATCCTTGCCAAACCTTGAGTTATCAACTTTTATCATATTGGCCCATCTCAGAAGTGAGAAATGAGATTTCATTTTTAAAGTTATATTCTTTTAAATATTTTAAAATTATAATAGAATCAATACACAGTAAAAAAAATAGTCTCTCCCAGATTTGTAGCACCAATGTACAAATTTTGTACGTTTTTGCACTTGAGATGGGAGGAAAAGCCCAGAAAAAAATCAATACACAAAATTTAGTGGCATTTGGCACACTAAATGCCAAATTTTAACACCTTAGACGTCTCAAACATGTTAATTCATCCTGCACAAACCTACAAATGAAGCTTTCCCTGACATTTTTGTGCATGTATTTCAACTTGTACATGTATCCATAAATTAAGTGTTCATTTTTGCAATTCACGCTTTCAGATGCCCACTCATGTACAAACATGGTACCATAGCTGTTGTGTTCCTGAGTCAACCACCTTTGAACAAGTGTCACCGGCGCCACCCATCAGCCTCTGTGTTCATCTTAGCATCATATTTAGTGGTGCCCCAGGTCACATAAATACCTTAGTATAGAAGGTTTTTGTTCCTATGGTAGGTTTGAATGGTTTTAATTTATCTGCCTTATATCTATGATAGCCTTACACACTACCTCTATTACTTGCTTTACACATTGCAGTTGTACATGAGATTTCAGGGTTTTTTAAATAGCATTCTTAGAGTTTGTGATAGGAAAATAGGAAGACAACTTTAGTAGCCATCAATAGAGAACTAGTTAAATTAATTCAGTTTGTCTACTAAATCTATTATGACTTTAAAAATAATGAGATCAATCCAAATATGAGATAATAAACACATCTCCAAGATCTGTTGTTTAGTGAAAAAAGTAAGTGCAGAATAGTTTTATAGTAGTCTCCCATTTGTGTGTGTGTGTGTGTGTGTGTGTGTGTGTTTTAATCTCTGGAAGCTTATATGAGATTGTCAAAACAATGTTTGATGAGGAAGTCTTGGTGGCGGGGAATGGAGATGGAAAAAAGACTTACTTTTTATTGTATTCACCTTTGTGCACTTTTTTCCCTATATATCTGTAATTTAAAAAAAAACTTAGTATGTACAATTTTTAAAAAGCCTATTTATGAATACATGGGGAAATAGGCCTTTGAGATGCAAGCAGCTCTCCACAAAGCCCACACTTCTGTAAAAGAGATTGGATCACATTCAGGTGTTCATCCCAAATATTATTTATTACTGAAGACAGAGGATTAGAAATTAGATATACCTGTAACATCTACAAATAAGAACTGATAGCATGAAGAAGAAACAGGAGCCATATCTTAAAAGCTAGCAGATCTATAAAAATATAGCAGTCAATTGTGTTTTTTAATTGTGGCATTAAAAAACACAATATAAATATGTTTATATAAATTTACCCTCAACTATTTTTTAATGATTTATTTATTCATTTTAGAGAGTGAAAGTGCAAGTGCATGAACACGGGAAGGGGCAGAGGGAGAGAATCTTCAAGCAGACTTCCCGCCAAGTGCAGAGCACAACCCAGGATTTGATCTCATGACCCCGAGACTACAATATGAGCTGAAACCAAGAGTCTGATGCTTAACCAACTGAGCTACCCAGGTGGCCTTACCCTTAACAATTTTTAAATGTACAGTACAAGATTGTTAATATATGTACATTGCTGTACAGCAGAGCTCTAGAATTTTTTCATCATGTATTGCTGAAATTCTATCCCACTGAGCAACAATTCTTTGTTTCCCCTTCTGCCAGCCCCTGACAATCACTATTCTACAGTCTATTTCTATGAATTTAATTACTTTAGAAATCACATATAAGTGGAATCATGCTCTATTTGTCTTTTTGTGACTGGCTAATTCTACTGAGCATCATGTCCTCAAGGTCATGTCCTCATAGTCCAAGTTGTAGCACATGCCAGAATTTCCTTCTTTTTTTAAAGCTGAATAATATTCCATTGTATATATACACCATATTTCCTTTTTCCATTCATCCACTGATGGATATTCAGGTTGCTGCCACATCTTGGCTACTGTGAATAATGCTCCAGTGAGCATGGCTGCAAATATCTCTTCGAGATCCTGCTTCCATGGGTCTTAAGTTTGTCTTTATGCCAATTCCACACAGTTTTGTTTACTGTAGCTTTGTCATGTGTTTTCAATCAAGAAATGTGAGCCCTCCAGATCTGTTCTCTCTCGAGATTGTTTTGGATATTCGCAATCTTTTGAGATTTTAAATTTCAGATTTTTTTTTCTATTTCTGCAAAAAATTCCATGGGTATTTTGATAGGGATTGCATTGGATCTGTAGATTGCTTTGGGTAGTATGGACATGTCAACAATATTAATTGTTTCAATCCATAAACGTGGGATGTCTTTCTACTTTTTGTGTCTTCTTTCAGTTCTTTCAGCAATATTTTGTAGTTTTCAGTGTACAGATCTTTTGCCTCCTTGGGCAAGTTATTCCTAATATTTTATTCCTTTGGATGCTACCATAAATGAAATTGTTTTCTTAACTTCCTTTTTGAATTGTTTACTGCTTGTATATGAAAACACGACTGATTTTTGAGCATTGATTTTGTATCCTGCAATTTTGCAGATTCATTTCTTAGTTCTAACAGTTTCTTTGTAGAACCTTTAGAGTTTTCTATGTGTAAGAAATGTCATCTGTGAACACAGATCATTTTACTTCTTCCTTTCCAACTTGGATGCCCTTTTTTTCTTTTTTCTTGCCTAACTGCAATGACTAGATTTCCAATACCATGTTGAACAGAAGTGGAGAGAGTAGTAATCCTTGTCTTGTTCCTGATCTTGCAAAAGCTTTCAGTTACTCACCATTGAGTATAATGTTAGCATCTTATTATGCTAAGGTTATTAGCATAATATGTTGAGGTAATTTTCTCCCTTAGTTTTGCTGGTCGAGCATTTTAATCATGAAAAAACACTGAATTTTGTCAAATGTTTTTCCTGCATCAGTTGAGATAATCATGTGATTTTTGTCTTTCATTCTCTTCATGTGGTTTATCACATTGATTAGTTTTTGTATGTTGAACCACCTTTGCATCCTAGGGATAAATCCTACTTGGTCACGGTGTATAATCCTTTTAAAGTGCTGTTGAATTTGGCTTTTAAATGTTTTGTTGAAAATTTTTGTACCAGGGGCACCTGGATGGATGGCACAGTTGGTTAAGCATCCAACTCTTGGTTTCCACTTGGGTCCTGATCTCAGCGTCGTGAGATCGAGTGCCGGCCGAGTCAGGCTCTAAGCTGAGCAGGGAGTCTGCTTAAGACCTTCTCTTCCACTCCCTCCGCTCCTCCTCCCTACCCCGCCCCCACTCCCATGCATGTACATTCTCTCTCTAAAATAAATAAATAAATAGATCTTTTTTTAAAAAAGAAAATTTTTGTACCAGTATTGGTTTGTAGTTTGTTTTCTCATAGTATTTTTGTCTGGAGAGCCAAATGGTTTTTATTGTAAGGGAAAACATCCTTCAGCCTATGATAGTATCATGTTATTATGCCAGTAATAAATGAAGTTTATAATGATGACCCTGAAATTATAAAAAAAAAATAGATAAACCATGTTTAAGTGCCTCTTGAAGAAGGCAGAAAGTGCATTATTGCTTCTAACAATAATGGTTAATTTTTTTAAGGTTCATTATTAAAAGGAGTATTTGTCAGCCACCTGGAAAGGTCTTAATGTTGGATTAATAAACTGTAACCATTTGTGCTTCTCAACGCCATAGTAGTTCTCTCCTCTGCAATTCTAGGAACCAAAGAATGCCACAGAAACCAAGCTTATCGTTTGTGGCTTTAAGCCTAATTCATGTAAGATTAAGGGAGCTGCGGACCATAACACATCAGCTTTCACTGTGGAAACCCAGCTCCTAACGCAGTGTAGAACCGTGGCAAAGCTGCCCAAGGAAATCTACCTGTTTTGATCCCTTTGGAGCAGAAAGTGATTCTGTGCACTTGTGTAGAAAGCATTAAATAGAAATTACCCATTAGTCCTTTCATCTAAAACTGCAAAATCAGTTTTGGAATACAAAGAAAAGAAATTTTTTTGGCTTTTGAAATGAATTCTTTTTTTTCCTCCTCATTTAATATTTGTTTTGCTAATTCTTCTGTGTCTCTGTTGATGGTATTTACTGTTCGGTTGCTAATGCAGTTCTTGGTCTTTAAAGCTTTTAACCTTTCATCTTCGGTAATTCAAGTGGGTTTAAGAAATCTCTTTCACTTTCCCATATCCAAAAATTGATTTTCAATCAAATTCTCTTTCAGATGATCTAAACACTTTGTTACCTGTGGTGTAGTCATAATCACGGAGGCCTTTATGAACTGTCTACTTAGTGACCTTTTTTAAAGTGCTGGTTATTATGTTTTTTTTCTTTTGTTCTTCTTCTGGTTAGTATTTTCTTTTTTTCTTTCTTTCTTTCTTTCTTTCTTTCTTTCTTTCTTTCTTTCTTTCTTTCTTTCCTTCTTTCTTTCTTTTCTTTCCTCTCTTCCTCCCTCCCTCCCTCCCTTCCTTCTTTCTTTCCTACTCATTCTCCTCCTTTTTGAGATAGTATTAGGGGTAAGAGGAATAGGGGCTGTTGGATTTGGATAATGTATTATAGTCACAGGAAAAAGGCAGATTTCTAGAGTCATAATTCTTTGGTTTTTTTCCTTTGGTTGGTTGATTTGTTGTTTTTTAAAGAATTTAACCATTCAAGTCTAATTTTGAAAGCTTGAGATGTCTGGGTTTTTCAAATGGTTATTCACATTTCTGAACCACCAAGGTAATCTTTGCTACAAATTATAGTAGAAGTTTTAAGTGTTACTTCCCGTCATGGCAAACAGCTTAATTGAGAAGCTTGATTATCCCCTCAGCCTTCAAAAAAATCCCAGTGTACCAAGATTGGATCCAATTTAAATTCCTTTGCATGATAAATTCTTCAGTGATGTAATAATATTATCTTATTGCCAATGATGTAGAAGGTGTGGAAACCCTTTTTCACTACGTCTCTCCTGTAAAAAAAAAGAAAAGAAAAGAAAGAAAGAAAACTTCTTTCCAAAATTTTGCAGCACATTTGCTCAAATATAGCATCCTTGGTTGTTTCTTTGGGGTTTTAATTATATCAATCTTTTTATAAAAGGATTTTGAGGTAGAGCCTAGCACATTCCATTCACGCACTGCAGTGATTAATTCCTATTGCTGCTCAGTCACTTGTTACTTTATTTTTAGGGGCAAATTTATAGCAAGTCCAGGATCACATGTACAATGGTATTTGAAGTATCTGCAGCTGCTTACATAGCAGAAGTTCCAAGCTACATTCCTGTTGTGAATCATAGGTTTGGGAGGACGGTACCACAGCAGCAAGAAAAAGTAGCCTCATGGAAGTGTGCACGCACTCACGCGTATACATACAAGGCTTCAAAAGATTCCCAATATGCAAAATTGAGAGCATCCTTGAAGAGTCTTATCAAGAAGATGCCACCTTCAAAGAATGCTGTTTACATCTAATCAAGTATATTCTTGAATCAAGACTCCTCGATACTCCTGCATACATACATACATACATACATACATACATGTATATCTGTCTATATGTCACAGAGAAATACATATGACATACAGATGACCTAATCATTTTTTCCAGTTCAGAAATGGTATAATATCCTGGATTATATTTCATCGAGGGACTGCGATTGGGTTTGTATTGAAGACATCCCGGTGAAGTGCCGCTGCCTGTCATATGGTAATTTATCAAGGCCCTTTTAGTTCAATCACCAGAGCCACGCCTTGCTTTCCTTTGGACCTAACTGACACAGAAATCATTGCAAAAGTCACAGGGTTCGGGCGCCTGCGTGGATCAGTTAGTTGGGCCACTGCCTTCGGTCGGGTCATGATCCCGGAGTCCTGGGATCGAGTCCCACATCGGGCTCCCGGCTCGGCGGGGAGCCTGCTTCTCCCTCGGACCCTCTCCCCTCTCATGCTGTTTCTCTCTCGCGCTCTCAAATAAATAAAAAAAAAAATCTTTTAAAAAAAAAGTCACAATGTTCATAATGGAAGCTAAGTATTCAGACCCTGCCGTTAGATTGCCTGGGCTTGAATCTCAGCTCTGTTTCCCAACTGGCGAGCAAATGCCTCCATCTCTTGAAGCCTCAATTTTGTCTTCTGCTTACCTCCCAGGACTGCTTTATGGATAAAAGGGGATAATTCACATAAAAATGCTTAGGACAGTTGGGGCTCTTGATAAGCCCTTAGTGCATACAAGCTATTTTTACTCTTCTGAAGCAGCAGGAGAGAGGGCCAGGGCTTAGGTAGTGCTCTTAACTGAGCTGAGTAGTGAGGAAGGCCACCGTAGGAACAGGTGCATTGTGGAGATGAACATAGGTCTCTTCAAGTAGCATCCAACAGAACACTTAAAATTCCTTAGCGATGGTACAATCTTTGAGAATGAAGGCCTCTTGAGCAAAAATGGGCTCTATCTCAACGAGAAAAGGATAATTGTCTCAGATGGAGGCCAGCTAAAATAGGGAAGAAGGTACTTATCTAGACTTACTTGGGACTGACTCAATGTTTCTGAATTCACAGGTTATGTAAGGAAATATATAC